GCAGTTACCAGCTTGATGTGCCCAGCAGTGCCAAACACATGTGGATCAGCTGTTGCATATGTGCAATTTTTAAGGAGCGTCAATTTCATTTGTCTTTTCATCATATTTGATCAAAATTTGGTTGAGTTTATGATGCCATCGATGGCCGATTTCCTCTATGAAATTTGCCTGCAGGGAATCATGGTAGTTGTATTCATCATCTTGGACTGGAAGTTATTAATAAATACAACTACCATGATTCTCTGCAGGCACATCTCATAGCGTGAATGCACCATTGGCTAATTTGCATATTCTGAAAACTTGATTATCTCTGAAAATAGTACACAGCATTTTCCTTCTTGTATAGACTACTTGTTTATGTTTTAAAATAGCTCAGATAGGAAAGATTGGAATTTCATCATATTAGTACTTTAAAGTGCTCCTCTCGATATCCATTTTTTTTTCATTTTGTACACAATGGTTCTTTCCTAGCTATCTTGCCAAAATTCCAATCTATTAGGAACAGTATTACCCGCATTTTTGTACCTTTATTTCTGAGAATTTACGGCCGCCATTAATTTCCCTTGATTTAAAGCTTGGTTAAGAATTTGAGCAAATGATGTTGTTTTCTCAAATTTGAGTAAACGACGTCATTTGCTCAAAACTACCACACGAGTTGAAATTACAATAACAATTAGTACTGCAATTCACATAAAGAATAACAAAAACTTTGGCTCTTATGTCCGTGCAATTTTCTACACTAATAGTTTTAATTATAATTTCAACCTGTGTGGTATTTTTGAGAAAATAACATCATTTTCTCCAATAGCGAAGGGCACGAGTGACGTCATAACTCAGACAAACTCAGACAAACAAAACGGAATGGTGGACGATTTGACGCTTTTTCAAGCACATAAGCAAGTGTTCCTTAAACAATTTTTAAACGAAAATTTGGCGTTCATTTTCCTCCTATTTCTCTCGGAACACGCTTATGTTGTCTGACTCTCGCGGGGTTCCATTAATTTGCATTCTATTTTTAGACTTCACGCGCTTCGTTATTCTCAACCAAGACTTGGAACAAGGAAAATTAATGGCGGCCATAAAATCTAGGAAATAGAGGTCTTAAAAACGCCAGTTCTTATGTTCGTAATGGAGTGAAATTTGGCAAGATATCTAGGAAAGACCTATTGTGTACGAAAATGTGAGAAAATGGATATCGAGGAATTGATCATAGGGGCACTTTAAGGGTGTATGGAAAACATGGAATAGTCATAATGAGAAATCATTTGCACAGTGACGCAAACATATTTATTCCTATTTAACTATTTTTGCTAAAAGGAGTGGAAATCATTTTTTAACGGTATTGATAATTTTCTTATCAAGTGCTTTTAAGAGTCAAACTTTAAAACTATTACTTATAACCATGAACCTGATCATGTTTTAAAGACGATGAAAAACATTGTCATTGAATGAAAAGGTGTGTTATACAAGCTAACAATGATGGATTTATGTTTCTGGAAATGTCCAACCCCCCTACGAAGTGCCATGATTCCACTGAAAACCACGAGGGAGCAAGGTACATTGTCATTTATGATCCTCTCGTTTTCATCCTCTCTCTCTCTCTCTATCTCTCACGCGGTTAGAAGTACCGTGAGCAGGTGAAAATATTTTAGTTCAGCACGCAACTGATGAGCCAAGCTAGCGAAAAATGCAACTTTTTTTCAAAGACAACACAAAAAGAAACACGTGCGGTAAAAAAAACACGATTACTAAAAAGTTGAAGCCATAAATGGTTGGTTTACAAAAAATTGAAATAAAACATGCAGTATGTAGAAGAAATGAATAATTAACAGCTTAAGCTCTCACTTGGCCTCATGAAAACATTAGTTACTTTATAGACTTCTAGGTCTCTGTTCGAAAAAGATCGAGTACAAGACAACAGTAGACAAGAACAACTTTGTTCCAGTGTTAACTTTCGTTTTTTATTCACTATACATGCAGTCAAACGAAAAGTCAACTAATCAATAGTAAGACTATGCTGAAGAGATCTCTNCCCCCCCCCCCCCGTCCCCCTCCTCTACGAAGTGCCATAATTCCACTGAAAACCATGGGGGAGCAAGGTACATTGGTATTTGATCCTCTCGTTTCCATCTGGTCTCTCTCTCTAGCTCTCACGCGGTTAAAAATACCGTGAGCAGGTGAAAATATTTTCGTTCAGCACGCAACTGATGAGCCAAGCTAGCGAATTAAATGCAACTTTTTGTCAAAGACAACACACAAAAAGAAACACGTGTGGTAAAAAAAACACGATTAGTAAAAAGTTGAAGCCATAAATGGTTGGTTTAAAACAAATTGAAATAAAACATGCCTGAGTATGTAGAAGAAATGAATAATTAACAGCTTTAGCTCTCACTTGGCCTCATGAAAACATTAGTTACTTTATAGACTTTTAGGTCTCTGCTCGAAAAAGAGTACAAAGTAACAGTAGACAAGAACAACTTTGTTCCAGTGTTAACTTTCGTTTTTTATTCACTATACATGCAGTCAAACGAAAAGTCAACTAATCAATAGTAAGACTATGCTGAAGAGATCTCTAGTCAAAACAAGATTTGTATACAGGTTTTAATACTTCTAATGACAATGAAAAAAC